AATTGTTAAGCAGGTTCAAAATATTTTCTTCACAATTCTCTGTTGCCACCTAGAATCCCAAGTTAATGATAAAAAGTATGACAGCATGATTCTCACTTCCTTTAGATACCTGTTGTTTCTCTTTGGAAGCTTTTATAATTTTTCTCTATCCTTAGAATTCTGATATTTTACCAGGATGTATTAGAGTATGAAATGTTTTCATTTATCCTATCTGATATTTGGACTATTCTATTTGAGCTGTGCTATGCTCAGTGCAGGGAAATTTTCTTCCATTTCTGTTTTTTCTTTTTTAGATGGAGTCTCACTCTGTTGCCCAGGCTGGAGTGCAGTGGCATGATCTCGGCTCACTGCAACCTCTGCATCCCGGGTTCAAGTAATTCTCCTGCCTCAGCCTCCCAAGTAGCTGCAATTATAGGTGCCCACCACCACACCCAGCTAATTTTTTATATTTTATTAGATACAGAGTTTCACCGTGTTGGCCAGGCTGGTCTCAAACTCCTGGCCTCAGGTGATTTGCCCGCCAGCCAAAGTGTAATCTCAGCCAAAGTGCTGGGATTACAGGCATGAGCCACCCTGCCCAGCTCTCATTTCTTTATTATTAATATTTTTCCCCCATTGCAGTCTAAATTTTTTCCTTTCTGGAACTTCCTCAAGACAGATATTAGACTTCTTGGATCTATGCTCTAGGTTGCTCAGTTTTCCTTTTATATTTCCAATCTCTTTATATTTTTGTTTAGTGTTCTTTTTTTGAGCTCTCTGACCAGCTTAGTTTTTAGCCATGTCTGGGTTATTGTTTAGTACATCCATTGACCTATAAAATTTTAGTAATTTTTTTTTTTTCCCAAGAACTCTTTAAAAAAATATCTGATTACTCCTTTTCCAGGGCAGCCTCTTTTTCTTTATGTCTCTAATATCCTTCCATATCTTTCTGAAGGTAGTAAGTACCTTTTTGCCTGAATTAACCTTGTTTCTTTTTGTATCTTTTCTGTTTGTTCATTTGGGGCTGTTTTTTTTTTTTTTTTTTTTTTTTTAAATCTCTTGCCACTTAACAGTTTTTAAAACAATAAACAATTTGTTGTTATATACAGTTTCTGTGGGCCAGGAATGCAGGCATAGCTTAGCTTGGTACCTCTGCCCAAAGGTGTCTCACCAGGCCACAATCAAGTTGTTGGCCAGGTCTGTATTCTCATCTGAATGCACAACTGGGGAAGAAGTTCCAAGTTCACTTACCCTGTTGTTGGCTAGATTCACTTCCTTACCAGTTATTGGCTAATGAGTCTTAGCCAGAGGCCTCCTTTAGTGTCTGCTTTTCATGGGCCTCTCTGTAGAGTAGCTCAGAACCTGGCAGCTGACTTCTCTCAAACCAACCCAGCAAGACAGCAAGAGAAGGCAAGTAGATAGAAGCTACAGTCTTATAAACTAATCACGACATTGCCATCCCATCACTCCTGCCATGTTGTATTCTTTATAAGTGAGTCATTTAGATCCAGCTCACACTCAAAGGGAAAACCCTTTTACCTAAGGGGCTGAGTACTAGAAGGCAGGGGTCACTGAGGGGCCACCTTAGATGCTGCCTACTATGGGGCCTGCTGTGGGAAGAGGGAAGGCTGGTTCTCATGAGTGTCTGCTGTTGCTTGTTTCAAAATGAAGGACCTTGTGGAACATTCTGGGTAGCTGGTCTGGACTCACTGTGTGACTATGAATGCTGGATCGTGTTGTGTCAGCTTCCTTTTCAGGTATGTGGGCAGACAGTAGGAAGGCAGGTTGGAAATTCTTCCTTGTATAATTCTATACCCTTTAGCCCACACAGTTGGAACTTGTTACTTGCTACTACCCACTAAAATATGGCAAACATGATGGGATAGTGACTCCGTTGATTAGGCTACATTATATGACAAAGGAAAAGAGTTACTTATGTAGCCTTTTCCTTTGTAGTAGCCTGTTACATATCTTTACATTCAGGAATATAATGATATCATTACAGTCTTAAATCAGTTAACGTTGAATTAATAAAAAAGGAGATTATCTTTGGTGGACCTGATTTAATTAGATGAAAGACCTTAAAGAGCAGGTGAGAAATGCTCTCTCACTGGCTTGGAAGAAGGAAGCTGCCATGAGCTCTATCTCAGCAAGGACATGAATTATTCTAATGGCCTGAATGAACCTGGAACGGGATTCTTCCCCAGTCAAGCCTCAAGATGATAATGCATCTTGATTCATACCTTGATCATAGCCTTGTGACATCCTGAGCCAAAGGTCTAGCTAAACTGAGTCTAGACTCCTAACCCACAGAAACTATAAGATAATAAATATGTGTTGATTTAAGAGCCTGAAAGTAAAATACACTGTATTCATTTTCTATTTTGTAACAAATTATCACCAGACTTAGTGGCTTCAGCTCTGCTGTTACAGAATAGAAAATGAATACAGTGTATTTTACTTCCAGGCTCTCTTACTGTCTTTGCTTTCTTGGTTCTCCCTTGTGTCCACAGTGAATGCCTGGAGTAAACCCAGTCTCTGGCCTCAGAGTCCAGCTCCCTCATTAGAGGCCTTCTTTAGGAAAGTGCCACCCTTTTGTAGAGAAAGCAGACTTTGCACTGCCAGCTGGGGACATGCCACTGCTGCCAGCTGTGCCTGTTATTTCTTATTTTTGAAGTGTATGAAGAGGAGGAGCCTAACCTCAGATATTCTAAAGGTACTTGTTTAATGGAAGATCGTAACAATTGCCCTTGCCTGCTCCTCTGCTGTTTACATTTGCTGCTTCAAATGGAATTTTACAAAGTCCATGATATAGGTGCTGAGGATGTCTGGTCTATTGATGGCATATTTTCCTGTTTTAATAATGCTTTTAGGGTTTCATTCTTTAAACAGAAAACCATTTTCCTAGCAAAGGCCTTGGAAGCGAAGGGAGGCAGACACTGGTGATGAGTCTGTGTGAAGTCAGCTTGCATTTCAAATTGGACCTGCCTTTTTCTTTTCTTTTTCTTTTTTTTTAAGAGAAAAGAAAATATTGCTTTGCTGCCTACCACTGATCTAATATATTTGTAACCAATTTGGCATATTGCTAATAAATCTGATGAGAAAAGGCAGAATTTTTATACCAATTGCTTTTCTTATGCCCCATTATTATTTTTCTCCCTTTAGTTCGCCCAGGCATACTCCTATCAAGACTCTTCCCTCTTCTTTTTCTTTTCCCTTCCTGTCACTTGTACTTTCATATTCTCCCTTTCTATTCTCTTTGGGAAATTTCTTAGAATGAGTGACTTAAAAATATTGCTGACATGGTTCTTTTCTAACCCTAACAGCATGCGCGATACAGGTGCTGAGGATATTGAGATACTGATCTAAAATTGTGATTTTAGAATTGTCTTAAGACTTTTAGTTCTAAGCAACACAAACCAAGTAACCTAAACCTCAAACAGTTTAGGTTAAAAATAATTATAATAATAATAATAATGTATTAGCAAGACACTGCAGTATCTCCTTGAACCCCAGGCTAAAATTTTATTCTGATGTCACAAGGGCCTGGCACCAGGAACTAGAAAGCTACAGGAGCCCCCGTAGCTGTTAAGTTTCTGTCTCTCCTGTTTTTGCTTTTCTGAACATCTTCTTATTCTTTTCTCTCTTGGTGGACTCAATTTGACTGTTTTGGCATGGATGTGGCCAAATATGGCTGCCCAAAAATGGCAACTAGAATTTCCAAGTTAATATTATTTCATTTCAAGCAAATAAGGGAGAGGTACAATCCCAGGTTCCAAGGGGGAAAGAATCCATTTGGTTGAGTTTGTGCCAGTTATCTCTTTTTAGGCTGGTTTAATATGGTTGTGAGGGCAGGTTTTGTGGTATAAACATGGCTTGCTGTGGCCCAAGTTCCCAAAGAGGAGGTAAGCGAGTGGAAGATTGGGCAGATATCTCAAAACACTTCTCCTGCAACATTCTTGTTTGTGTCCTATGTGCTCTTTCTCATCAGAGAGACAGTTTAGCTGGTGGTTAAGAACATGGACTTGGGGTCAGACAGACCTTAATTAGAATCCCAGCCCTGTTACCTACTAGCTGTGTGATCTGAGGTCAGTACTTTGCCTCTGTGAAGATCAAATTCTTTCTCTGGGCAACTGAGAATCTCCTGGGGTTGCTGGGAAGATGAGATGAAATAATGTATGGTATATCCTATGCACTCAATAAATAGCAACTATCATGAATTATTACTATCATACCACTGGGGAAAGATGATATGAATGGAAGAACATGTATTTCATCACCCTGAATGGTGCAAGAAGATCTGAAGGCAAAATTTTAGATACCACAGAATTATATCATCAGTAAAAATCTAAGAATAAGTTTTGTCTTACCATACTTGAGCAAAGACAGATACAGGCTAGGCTGCAGGAGTTAGGGCCCAAATAATCTAAACTTATTTCTAGAATATAATTTCCATTTCTGTTGGCTTTAGAAATGGAGTAGTCAATGATCTTGTAATCTAAAAGAGAGCCCAACAGAGCTGGTGGTCACTAATAATTACAGACGTAATAGTTTTTTTCCAGTTAGTGCCTGTTCTGATGGTCTCTGCATTCATTCTGTTTGGGAGCAGGTTTATTTTGATTGGCTAATATCTTACTTGGTGAAATATTTTGAATAGCATCCCTGGAAACCATGTGCCAGAATTCAAAAGACCTGAGTTTTTTTGTTAAAGAAGACATACTACTTTCTTTTTAAGACTATTACAATTTCTTTTGTGCTTTTCTCACTTCCGTGATAAGACTTTTTGGGTAGCAATTATTATTAAATGAATTCTTAGAAAAGGATATGTAAAATGATTATTTAAATTCTTCATCATTGAAGGATACCAGATGTAAGCTGAAAGTTAATGTTTATATAAAGTAGAGATAGCTGAACAAACAATGTTCATAACTTCTTTTTCAAATGTAGTGTATTATATTCTGTGTGGAACTATATATAGTAGAACAATATCTCAATGACTAACTATGTAATTTTCTCTCAAGTTATGCAGACATTTTGATTGAGAGGGAAGTATTAATGCAGAAGTACATTCATCTAGTTCAGATCGTAGAGACAGAAAAAATTGCAGCTAACCAACTCCGACATCAACTTGAAGATCAAGACACAGAAATCGAAAGGCTTAAATCAGAGGTATTATTTCCCGGTCGATAGATTCCTTCTCATTGTTTCACGTTTACCATGATTTTCTCATGATTACTTAAGGCCTATTCAGGGCAACATTTTAATCCCAGGCTAAGTTCCTCTGTCATCAACACAACACATACATGGCTGGGCCTGACCTCAACATAAATCTAATGTTTACATTAGGATTAGGTAAATGTGCTACAGGAACATATCAGGATAATGTGCTTTTTTTTGGGGGGGGGGGCGGTTATTTTTCTCCTAATATCCCTTATTAGCTCAGAAATTCAAGAATTGACTATAGCTCTAAAAAATTAACTGTTTTCAGATACCCTAAGGTAATGATAATTATGAGTCTGCCATAGATTCAATTAAAGTCTAAAACGATGACTAAGGGAGGACCAGAAATGAATTCAGACTCTTTTAGATTGAAGGAGTCCATCCTTCTCCCCTCTACCATTTTAAAAAGAACATTTGGATTAACGTATAAGACATTGCTAGGGTGCATTTTTCCCTGGAGTTAGAATTCCTGCCTCCCCTCTCCCTCCCTCAGAGTGTGACCTTCTCAGGCCTTGCATCCCCAGAGAGTGAGGCTCCTGCCCAGTGTGAGCAGAAGGTGGTTTTAGAGTCCACGGCTGTGGTCTGTGCATCCATCCTCCCTACCTCCCAGGCCTCAGTCTAGATAGAGAATCCCAAATGTTCCTTTCCTGCTGTCCTGCCCTTCCTCATGGGCAGTAAGCAATAACTGAAGAATGGGAGAGGAATGCAGAGAATGAGATTTTCTCCCTCTTTCTGCCCAGGGATGCATTAGTGTCTTCTAAGATTCAAAGAAGGGAATAGGACACAATGAAACCTCCTAGTAATTGTATCGTCATTGACAGAACAGTTTAGACTCCTCAGCCTTGGCAATGTTCTGGTCATTTTTACTGTCATCAGACATTTTCCTTTTGGTGTCTTCGTACTTTCCTGTAAGACACACCCTATGAATCATAGGTGGGGGTTTCGTCTTCTGTTCCCTGCACACATCACCTCCAGTGTTCAGAGCACGGGCATAAGCTTCTTCCAGCTGGGATGTGGCAGCTTCTCTGAGGATGACAGCTCGTGGATTGTGTTCACCATATTATTATAGTTGTTAACTTCCTGATTCGATCCTGATATCTGATATAGTGAAAACAACAACAGAACACTTAACAAACCTGCATTTTAAAAGACTATATCAGGGACTGTTATTTAAAACAAAATTATTGTATTCTTTCTTTGCCACTGTAAGCTAGAGCAGATGCTTGTCTGCTAAGTGAAAGAGGTTGGTATTTACTCCACGAGAGAAGCTCAACACTAGGCGATGTTCCTCAATGTTTATTTATGTGTGTTTATCTGCCTTCACTATGTTCTGTTTTAGTCTGAATGTAGATTACAGCAAAAAACTGTCAGTTGCAGGTATGTCTTCTGTAGTCTCTTGACAGGAGCCATAATTTATTTCCTACTCCCTTTCTTTTCCCACCTCCTTGCCAGAAAGTAGCAGAGGGGTGCATTTGCTATTGGGGACAAAATATAAACACAGCTTAAATAGTGGCAATTATGATCTCTTAACTTTTGAAGTATTGCTTGTTAGTAAGTCTGTATGGGTTCTTAAGCTTGTAAGAGCCTGCCGTTCAGTGCTGACCTAGAGAATTTTGCTGCTATGTGTAGTTGAGAGGCTACCCAGTCTTGAAATGCCCCTTACAGGTCACAGAACTGAGCTGGAGATATAAAGAGATCCTAGGTTATTTCAATCCTTTTTACCTTTTCTCAGGAATTCTCTTGGTTGGCTGGGACCAGCCCCAGGGCTCTGAAGTTCCCTTTATGGTTGCCATTTTCCTAAGGATGTTTGTGAGTTTGGGATGCCATGTGCTTTGGAAAACAACAGGCCAATGACTAGACCCAGGGTCCCTGAGCTGAGTGAGACTGCATGTGGGGACCACAGGATATTGCAGGCAGCTGCCTTCAGGTGAGGGGGTGGACACGTCGCTGGACTCCTGACAAGGTTTCGGCCTGCTCACCACTGGCAGCTGGGGCTGAGTTTTGGGCTAACATTTCTGCTAACCTAGATCTCAGGTCACACTTTTCTTATAAACACTTTTGTTGGTGATAGCCTGCTGGGGTAAAGTTTATGTTTCCCCCATCTCAGCACCAAAGGAAGAGAGGATGCAGAAAAAGTGGCTGTTTCCTGAGGAGCTCATTGGCCCACCTTTGTAGGCAGAGCTTCCTGTGTGTTATGGCTATAATCCAGCATTTCCCAAATCATGAAATGGACCGATTTTGTGTTCCAGATTATTGCTCTTAATAAAACCAAAGAACGAATGCGACCTTACCAAAGCAACCAAGAAGATGAAGATCCAGACATCAAGAAGATTAAAAAGGTAGGGCCTGGAGGTTTCCAGCTTTACAGCAGCATAGTGACCAGTCATCTGTCCTGTGGTGATGTCTTGTACGTGAGTCGTCTGTCCTGGGAGCAGCCTTGGCGTTTCTGTGCTGTGGCTCCCAGACTTGCCCTGTGGAGTGTGCCAGGCGTGGCTACTCTAGAGAACTGCTTGAG